CTTTCGAAACAATGTGTAAAATTGGACACAGAATTTACATTAAAGATATTATTATTAACAATACTCATTATTGTTATTATTGTCAAGAAATTGCATTTCTACCATTGCTGATTTTCAACTGTCACTCATTTTTTTGAAATTTAACCAAGCAGAGGTCCAAAACAGCATTTTCCAACATGTTTTCTGTTAAAAAGAAAAAGAAAAAAAAAAAGACATAAGTTCAACCCAACGTCTGTGACATTTCCAGGGATAAAAACGCTGGCAATTTGTGCGACACAGAAAGCTCTGTCGAATTATGCGTGTACTTTAAACGTCAAATTTGTCAGAGACAATGTAGACTGGCGCCTAATGGCTGATCTACCTGACAGGGCTTTTTGTTGAAGTCCACAGAAAGTCCACGGGAAGCCTTCTGTGCTCTCCAGCAGGGCCTGATGCACTTACAAGAATGTGCTCTATGTAACGAAAAGGGATGGCAGCAATTAGAAAACAAAAGAGGTGAGGAGGAGGGGGCCTGGTGATTGTAGCAGGAGCACTTCAACACCCGATTTTTGCATTGTCAATTAGAGAAGCCACACAGTGTCAGAGAAAGACAGAAACCCCCCCCCTCCCCCCCAGATATTTCCTGCTGGTTGATTTTGCAAAATGTATATATATATATATATATATATATATATATATATATATATATATATAAATAATAAAAAACATTGTGGCTACTGCAAATGAAACACAAATCTCTTAAAACGTGTATGCGCATGATCTTTTAAAATCTAAATTGCTTTTACTTCTACAAATAAAACCTATCAGTTAATTTGTTTTCCTTTTCTGAAATGAATTGGGCATCCAAAATGTAAACGTGTCGAGGGAGGGGGGGGCGGACGGGAGGACTTAGAAATCTACACTTTGGTGTGGCAGCAAAATTAAAACCAAATGCTACACGACGTTATGCACAAGCACACTTTCAGTCCATTTAAAAATTTAATAAGCTGAAAGCTTATTTGTCTGATTTGCTGGCTCTTTGGCTTCATTTTTGGCAGGCGTGCGCTGCAGAAGGTCACCAATTCACCTGTAAGGAGAGAATTTACCCTGCCTAATTTTTCCTGTCCTTCAGGTGCAGCCTGCCACCCTGCTTTGCATTTTAATGAAGGCTACATGTTTATTAAATCTTTGGGTGCCCCCCCCCCCCCTTTAAAAAAAAAAAAAAAACTGAAATAAATGGCTTATGGTTACCAGGCAACGCAAGTTGATCAAACATGCTTCGCCCTCCCCCAATTTTAAGCTCATAATTCATCATCTATATTCAGGCATCAGTTCTTAATTAGATTAAGATGCATAACACTCCCCCTTCTCCGCTGAAATCCTATTCACGCAAATGAATTAACACACACACACACACACACACACACACGCGTGCGTCCACATGCGAAGCTAGAACAATTTAACAATGAATTTTGAAACGCTTAAATTGCAGATGAAAGGCGATTTATGGCAAAGTTCATACATTTCTAAAAAATATTTACTAAAATCATATAATAAAAATATTTTTTTTTTGCTTTTGTGAGACCAGAAAAACCTTTGTATCATAAACTGTAATAACAGGAGTTGCTTCAGATCCTGTTTATAGCTTAGGGAATTTAAAAACCATCGTACAAAGTACTTATAAAAATATAAACAAAATACATCAATTAGTAACCAAACATTGTATTTCCAATAATGCTACAGGTCATTTGGAGAACTTACAGTAAAGTATTTGAATTCACATCAAAAACATTGGGCCTTACTGTCTGTGCTGCCCCCAAAAGCTAAGCTGTGCTTTTCACTTCCTGAAATCTTAATCAGCACAGCCATCTACAAACGAGAATGAAAGACTATGTTTTTTTTTTTGTTGTTGTTGCTGTTGTTTTTATCTAATGCATTAAGAAAAAGAAAGAGAAAACAGCAGGTGTTCTTGCACGGTTTGCTTTAGCTTCCAGGTAAAGTTAAAATGGGGTCATCGAATTTCATCACAATTCTCAAAGGTGCGACCGTGGAGAAGGAAGAGACGTGTGCATGGCAAACCAAGGACGGTTGGATTTGCTGCAAAGAGCACGGCTCGCTTTGCTCTCCCTGGAGCCACGGCTTTGATTGAGCGCCTGAAATGAGTTGAAATGTCACAAATCTCCGGCAGTACACTAGAAATGAAAATTGGCCTTGTGGCGGTTTTAAGGCTCTCATTAAGAGTGGGCTTAACGTTTTCTATTTAAGTGTGCCGTTGGAGTGTATCCAAAATACAACATTATTACACATCTCTGTGCACTCAAGGAAAAATGTTCCCCTGGAACTTGTCAATGCAGATGGAGTCTCGGCTATATTAAAGAAGAAGAAAAAAAAAAACAGAGCTCAGAATCAGAGGCCTTGATAGGACAGAAGGGTAGGAATAAGCTCAGGGGAAGACAAGCTTGAATTAAATTTGCAACAAAATATATGTTCAGAATGGGAGAAATTGTCATGTGATTAGTAGCAGAATGCAGATTTTATTCCTTGATTCTGGCTTTTATCAACAACAACAAAAAAAAAGAATTTGGTAAATATAGCAAATCTGACACCCGAGTGTCTGGTTTTATCAAATACTAACACATCTTACACACAAGCTTTTCTTGTTAGAACTGAATACAATGACTTGGTAAATCTACAGCCCTTCTATTTACCCCTTATTTCTTAGGTGGCTGGATTTTTTATTTATTTTTTTTTTTTGTTCGAGGGGAAACAGAAAAATGACTATCCTGGCTGCTTAGTATTCACATCACACAAAGTGGGTCTGTGTTCCTTATTTAGTCCCGTACTGTACAGCTGGGGAGCTGTCCAGCACGGAGCGGCAGTATGCAAATGAGTCTGGATTTGAATGGAGATGGAGGTAGACACAAAGCTCAATTAGAGACAGAAAGAGAGAAAGAGGCGGTGGGGGAGCGTCTGGACAGGAAGAGGTGGGGGGGGAGGATGGAGAAAAAAAACAAAAAAAAAACGCTTAATGCCAACCTGAGCAAAACCAGTGTACAAACATGCTGAACCACAAAGCTGCATGCAAATAGCCAGACGTATTTCTAAATTCTCCAGCCCGTCTTTCTAGGGGATCAGACGGCTCAGCTCTTCAGCGCGTTTCAGTCACACCAATCACACCAAGATCCCGCATCATCCGTATCACACACACACACAGAATAAAAACAAAACAAAGGTTTAAGTGCCAGCACGTGAAACAATAAAACGAACATATAAAAGGAAAAGAGGTGGCGGCCATTTTGTTCCCAGGTGTCATAGTTGATGCCCAGCAGCCAGCACGGCATGTCACCCAACTGTCCTTGGAGGAGCCTCTGACACGAGCACTGTCACCTCTTGTTACCCTGGCAACTGCAGAATCAATTATGGGGGATGGGAGCAGAATATGAATATTCACATTGCAAGGGAACCTTCATCAAAATTTATAATGTCTTCATACTGCGTTTTTTTTTTTTTTTTTTTTCCTACATTTTAGTATGAATTATTGACCTTGGTTTTTATGTGATGGAACAACACAAAATAGTGTCCAATTGTGAAATGCAAGAAAATCACATTTTTATTTTTTGAATTAAAAAAAAATGCATTTTTTTATTCCTGCATTTTTTATTCAGCCCCATCCATGGCTTCAACATTTTTCAGATACCTTGCTTTAAACTTCACAACTTTATCCACTTCCTCTCTGCTGTGTCCCTTGGTCTTCATGATGTTGTTTGCGCTGCTTTTCTCCAACAAACATCTGAGGCCATTACTGAACATGCGTACTTACACTAAGATTTCTCTAAGCTCAGTTGAACTCTTTCTAACTGCTGCAAAATACAGTTCTACAAAGCACTCAGGCAGTGGACTGCTTCCATGGCTTTCACTGTTTCAATAGCAAAACATTTTTAAAACGGTGCATCGTTTTCCTTTCATTACACAATCATGCGCTACTTTTTGTTGGTCAGTCACCTCACAATATAATATTAGACCGTATGGTTGCATTGGACCAAAATAACATGAAACAGTTGAAGAGGTGCTACCACTGTTGGTAAAGACAAATAAAGCGATCCAAGCAAATTGTTTGCAAGCTTTGGCATTACTACCTTGAAGAAAACAGAAAAGCTGTTCTGTATTTGGGCCGTAGGGGTGGGTGCGCTCCAGCTTCTCCTCCTCCCCCTTTCATTCTACACCTACCATTATGACGAGGATCATGAATAGTTTACAAAACTGCATACAGTAAAACGTTGACGTCTTGCACAGCTTCATCGGCAGATTTTTAGCTGACTACATTGGGTCTATGACCTGCAGTGCAGTCATTTCACATACAGCTGAAGTACAACAGACAGGAGTGCAGGCTTGGCTCTGAGGGGATGGAGCTAACCTAATCAGGGGAGACTGGCAATGCAATATAGGTGTGATTTCCAATAAAACACTGCTTGTACGATCAATGTTGTCTATTTCCTGAGGCCTCCTTTGCACGGTTTTATTTGCAACATCAAATCAGTTATTCAAGCAGGTCCAGTGTAAGTAAGGAAGAGGGATTGCCATTTCAACCAAGAATACAAAGAGAATATATGGACAACTAAAAGAAACCCAGAACTATAGCACAAGAGTGAGCGTCAGAAATAAGTCATCACACACTACGGAATTATGCGAAAACGCACGTGGCACGGTGTGACCACAGGCACGAACATCCACGCAGACAACTCGGTCTGCGTGTGCGCGCGCGCTCGTACAGTAAACGTTGCAACGCTCTCATCAATAATGCATCGGCACTTCATGTTTATGCAATTCGCAGGGCAGGCAAGCCCAAGCGATGGAGTCGCTGCAATCCTGATTCACGCAAGCACGCACAGGCTACAAGTCACACACGTCTACGGACAGACTGAGCTCCCACACTCACACACACACACACACACGCGAGTTATTTATTTTTTATCGCCTGTGGAGAAGGAGATTAAGATTATAAAACAGTCTTCAGCACATACCTGTTAAGGCACTTTTTCTCTCTGATTCTGGTTTTTATGCAGGCTGGAAGGGCTCACAGTAACGCGCGCACTAAGGCTGTGCTGATATGCAAATTAAAGGCTCTGGCTCAGTGCAGGGGCATTTATTATTCATAAATTACTCATGTTTATGCAAATGATGGGCTGATACGGAAACACTGGTGGGGGTTGAGTGGCTCAGTCTAAACATACTGTGTGATTCGATCGTTGTTGCGCTCAGCCATTTGTGATCCAGATTCAAACATTTGACCAACAGAGATAGTCATGGAGTAGTCGCTGTTCTCTGAACTTCTCGAGGTGGGATTGGGAGGGTTAGGTTTTACATCCAAAGGTGGGCCCTGTGCATTCTTGCATTTATGTATGTAGCTAAAGCACAGGGTTTCTTTTAATTTTTCAGTATGAACAAAAGGTTTCATTTATGTCTAGTGTTTTGAATGAAATAAACTGCAACACATGGTACATATTCAGGTTAATGTAATAATTATAGGGCCTTTCAAAACTATTTTTAAATATACTTTGGCTCATTACACCTACACATTTTGACCAACCTTTTTTTTTTTTTTTTTTCCTTTTTGAATTTTTCCCAAAAAAAATTTAATATTAAGTATAATATAAGTTGTTACTGTACAAAAACCCCATTCTCTCAAATAATAGTCATATATGATTATGGACTAAAATCAGAATGAATACACTGAAAGACAAAAATAAATTGTCAGGTTCAAAAATGTTGAATGCACCTGAGCATATCCTTGTTTGTTTTTTTTTTTTTTTATTATTTCTTGTTTTTAGTTTCCACAATTCGTACCAGCTGGTGGTGGTAAAATACTATCATGCTGTTCACCAACCATCTTTCAAGCTCTACAAGAAGAAGAACTTGCTGCCCTATTTATTTTTAACCTTGACACTTTCTGGACAGGGAAAGTTAAATTGCAAAACTGCGTTGCTGACAAACCTATTTTGTTTGTTTTGTGTTTTTTTTCACACTATTGGCACTTTCTGCACCCCATACAACATTGTTTCGCGCACAGCACTCTACTTTACGGCAGCAAATGTATTACGGTACAATCATACGTCATCATTGGAAGACTCATGGTGGCGTTCAACAATGGTGACGCCCTGAGATTCGTATATTTCGAGTACTTTAGTCTGTTTTTACTCTATAAGATATCGACTGTAGCCCTATAAGGAATTTAAACCGTGTATCTGAACGCACATAACCGCTGTACACCAAAGTCATTTTGTGGAGTGATGCGTAACTAGATCCACGAGCGTAAGTTGCTGGATGTTGTGAATAAATGTGAGCATTAGTCTGGTAACGTTAATCGGCTTTTGCTTATTCTTGTCAACTTTATTTTTTCATGTATATTTTCACATTATTGAGACCGTTTGTCCTGTTTTTGACACAGAAACCACCATGTTCCACAACAGCTCACAGAAGAAATTCTGGACTTTTAAAAACGAGGATGAACTGGAGCAGATGCGGTACATGGCCAATGAGAAATTCCGTAGGAAAGCACTGGAAAGTGGAAAGGTAGGGTGACGCAGCCTGAAATGCTACCACAGCATTTTTTTTATTTTTTTTTTTTTTGTAACATTATGTGTGCTTTTCATCGCAATTTGATTCTCTGTTGAATTAGCCCGGTATCGGTGACTTCAAGTTCTTGGATCGCCACGAGGAGGACGCGTTGTTTCGACACTACGAGAGGAGACTGCTGGACTTCTGCAATGCTTTTAAACCCGCGATGCCCAAATCTGTGGTGGTAGGTTTCTGTGTCGAGCTTTCCTCAACGCAGCAGTCACTCAGACAGACCACTGAACAAGCATGTTTCACCTGTAATCTCACCTCTGCAGGGCACAGCCATCATGTACTTCAGGAGATTCTACCTGAACAACTCGATCATGGAGTATCACCCCAGGATCATCATGTGAGTGCTGCCAAGTTGGGAGTTCTGTAAGGTTTGATGTGGTTTCTATTGAATATGTGCTCAATATCATTTGAAAGCTACATAACATCATGTCTGTACGTATTGGCTGTTTCATTTCACAACCTGTAATGCAAATATAGTGGACAGGTGGGAAGTGGATGCAGTGAGTGAGTGCATCCCCCTCACTCTGTAAATATTTTATGTCTTTTCATGGGACAACACTGAAGACATGTTGCATAGCAGTCAGTGTAAAGCTTGTTTAACAGTGTAAATGTGCCGTCTCCCTAAAAGGAAAAAAAAAGAAAAAATATACAGCCATTAGTGTATAATCTGCTGGCCAAACATCCTGTAACTTCTGTAACATCTCATTTAAAATATCAGAATGATGAGTAAATCCCGCTACATGGGTGGATTATTTCACATTTCAACTTACCGTGATATTTAATAGTTTGTCCTACTTTCTATTGACTGTTTTTTGAGCTACTTAGCGCCAGTGCTTCCCTGTAAAGTTCTCCACCTACTTTTTCTTGGCCCTCTCCCCCTTGTTTCAGGCTGACGTGTGCATACCTGTCCTGTAAGGTGGATGAGTTCAACGTGTCCAGCACCCAGTTCGTGGGAAACCTTCTGCAGGAGAGCCCGGCGGGACAGGAAAGGGTCGCGGAGCAAATCCTAGAGTATGAGCTGCTTCTTATCCAGCAGCTCAATTTTCACCTGGTGGTCCACAACCCCTACAGACCCATGGAGGGTCTGCTGATTGACCTCAAGGCGTGTGCTCTCTGTTTTGATTATGATTACGCTCCAGGAGATCTTTCACAATTAAAACCTCGATCATACGGCGTTCCATAAGGTGACTTTTCTCCCGTCAGACTCGATACCCGATGCTGGAGAACCCGGAGTCGCTGAGGAAGAGCGCCGACGATTTCCTTACCCAAGCAGCCATGACGGACGCAGGACTTCTGTTTTCTCCGTCTCAGATTGCTCTGACAGCTATTCTGAACAGTGCTTCCAGAGCTGGCCTCAAGATGGAAAGGTACCGATCAGAAATGTTATTTTAATTGCCATTAATTAATGTATATAGTCAGGCACCACTTTATTTATTTTTTCCCCCATTTAGCTACCTGACTGAATGCTTGGGCCTTAAAGAGGACAAAGAGACTCTTTCGAAGATGTATGACTCCATGAAACGTGAGTCAAGGCCACCTTCAGTTCCTCTCCACAAGATGGCGATGCTGAGCTGTGCAACCATCACTTCTGATTTGATTCAAGCGTCTCGTTTTTATTTATGCAGGGATGAAAACCCTCCTGAAGAAGTATGACCTTCCCAAGCAGGAGGAGGTGAATGCTTACAAACACAAGCTGGAGAGGATTCACGCTGAATTTGCTACTTCAAGCAAGTAAGGAGATGAAGAAAGCTCTGGGATAACTCTGTTTCATGCTTTCTAATGGGAAATACACAGTCAAAACATCAATTATTAGGCAACAAACAACTTTGGCACCTGAAATACTAATGAGAATTCAACCAAAGACAATGATGTAGAGTGATTTCTATTGAAAGTTTTTGAAAATTCCTAAATTTCCTATTGGAGGCACCAACAGTTTTAGACTTAAATTACGATTACATGTAAAATACAGTCTCTTTTTATACTACAACCTGAAGACCGTCCCACTGTTGTAATCTTACGTCATTATTTTCAATTTCATTTGGTTGTGTTCTTCACACATTCATGCCCAAGTGAATAATCGCAGGCGTTCAGTCATATGCAATAACAGTTTTATTTCAGTCAGGTCGTATCTAAGATGCAAAAGGTTCGAGGTTCAGTCTCGGGTAGAAAAATAAAAAGGAACACATCAGCTGTATGAAATCCAGAGAAGCTGCGTCACTACTCGCATCATTCACACCGTAAAGCGTATCCGACACAGGTACGGCTGCCGACTTATAGGCTTAGTGGTTGTGACTCATTTCTCTCCGGTGGTTTGCTAACACTTTGTGAGGTCCGCGGTATCGTTAAGTGCATCTACAGTAAACTGTTTGGTAAACGTCCGAGCTACGGCAGGCACAGGGTCGGACTTCTGCAGCGACTCGAGCCGTCGGGCGGGCGGGCGCCTGAGGCCGAACTTTACGGCTTCGTAAGGTCGACGAATCCGTGTGTGTGGTTTCGACTTGGAGTGGAGCCGTATGAGAAACAGTCGTAGCAAAGGTGCACAGAGGAAACGCCACCTGTTGTGGTGGCGGAGTGAGAGGTGGGGGGAAAAAACTGCAATGTAGCTAAAGCTTTTTGTTTTCATCCAAAGGCATAGAGAGGGAGTAAAGGTGATGGTTTGTTAGAGCAGCATATATGTAGGCCCACGCACTAAAGCACGATCCATTCAGGGTTAATACATGCACAGGACAGGTTCTAGGTATGCAGCTTTCTCAGCACTTCTATGCTATATCATACACAAACACGGTATTTCCTTATAAGACTAACTACATAACATACAAAGCAGCATATACGTATATATAAAAAGTTGGGTTCGTGCTGCAAGGAAAAAAACAAAACAAAAACAAATACAGTGTAAGTTACAATGGTTTGGTAGCGTAGAAAAATCAGGTGAAAGGACGATTGTGAGTAGAAAGGGAATTAAGGCTAGTGTTGTCTTGGAAAGAGGTGCTGTGTTTGAATTCCCTGATGACAGCAGAAATCGCTACTTCGGTACTTTGGGTTCTCTCCCCTCCGACGACACGTTCCCCACACTTTGTCCAAAGAGGATTAGCCAAACAGGAAGCCCGTTACGTCTGCTCCCTTCCCATAACTGGTTCAAGACTTGTGAGGAAGTGATAGAAACACCAGGATAGAAAAGATCAGATTTCTGCAGCGCAGTGCACCAAGATCCTCTCCCGCAAGGTCTCCGCGTCAAACAACAACAAAAAAAAGAAGTTTCTGACGGATTTTGGATTCAGACGAGGGCTTTGGAGAGGCGATATTCAGTTGTGCAGCGAGGATTTTGTTTGTTTCCCACAGAGGACAGTCACGTTGCGTTTGTACCGCCACATGCGCACAGTAAAAGCACAGACTCGCTCGGAGTCTTCAGTTTCACAACTCGTGGAACGAGGCGTCGCTTTGGCTGCGCGATCTGATTACAGGATTTGCAGGTGGAAATCCTTAAAACTCACATTACCTGGATGGCAGCAGCCAGAGACATGATGGTGCACTCTGTCCTGTAAAATAAAACGGACACGTTTGTGAAAGACACAAGCTGTTCAACGTTGCTCTGTTAGGACTCCTGGGACACCTACCGGTATGAATGGGGTAAACTAGACTATAGGACGATGAAGATGAGGAGCAGACTACCATTCAGTGACCTTACGGAGGACCAAAAGTGCCACAATTTTCAATAAATAACTTTTAGCACGTATTGCATCATGTTCTTTTTCTGCCACCCTTTCTCAAAGTCACTGTTAGACATTTTTATAATATTTGGTCAGTATTAAACATAATGTAAATTCACAATTCATTTCAGCCAATTACTGAAGAAATGTTGCATTTACTTAAATATCTAACAATTTCCATGTTTTAGTTACACATTTGAATAATTAGTGCTTCATTAGGTTGTGGCACATTTGGCACGCCATACTTTTATGCCTAATAACACTTAAAATGGTTGCATCAACACCAAGACACAAAACAGAGTTCACCCCTTGTTAATCCGCTTGTAAAACCTCTCCTATATTTCTTTTAATCTCGCAGCAAACGAAAAAGAGGATATGAAGAAGACGGCCATGTTGCCAAAGAACCTCGTTTGACCGAAGAGGCTAGACAGTTTTCTTCATTTGAGTAAAATGTTTTCTAAAATGTTTTCCCCAGAAATCTTAATCAGTCGCATTTTGTTTAATTGCAGGACTGGACTGATGAAGACCTCCTGTGAGATTATTGAGTTGTGTTGAAAGTTCCTGCTTTACTCCAGTATTTTATATGGAAAAAAATCTAAATGTGGCAAAATTAAGTGCACATTTCAGTTGTGTTTTTTGAGAAATAAAGAT